AATTATTATTTTATAGATGAATGTTTCTGTTAATTATTATTTTATACATGAATGTTTCTGTTAAATTATTATTTTATAGATGAATGTTTCTGTTAATTATTATTTTATATATGAATGTTTCTGTTCAGGCCCTGAGACGACTTCTGTTGTGACTTGGAGCTTTAGAAATAAACTGAATTTAAGCTGAATTGAATTTGTAGGAACAGAAGATTTAATCCAGATTGTGTTGTCATATGGCAAACACATGTTAGACTTCAAGAAACCAAATTGAAAAATAATTATTTTGGCTGCTTAAATCTATTAATAGAACTAAATATCATGCTTTGTGCAGTGCTCATGATGATCTGTCTTTCAACAATTAAAAATATAAAATAATGTTTGGACTTGTAACTCCTGTTTAGTGTTTTTAAAACATTAGAAAAAGAAAAACTAAGGCATTAGAGCCATATTTAAAAGAAGATGTTTTAAAAGCATCTCTGCAGAATGAATGAAGGCCATCTGGGAAGAATTACGCTCATTACAACAAAATGCTAACAGTGATTTATAGGAGGCTGCTTTCTGTTGTTCCACTATCTCACAGGGCCGAGCATTTTATCGTGGTGAAGCACATTATCTCTGTCCACTCCCTTTCCTTTGTCTCTGTTCTCTCGTCGGAGTGGAACAGGATGACAAATTAACAGCCTTGGTCTCCATAATTCAGAGGGAAAACACAATGTCCAACATCTGATACCACAATCAAACTCACATGCAGAGCAGCAGGGTGCTTCGTGCCTCTCCATCATAAAAACACAGCATCTCTTTTTAATTAGACGGCTTGGTGATGTCATCGCCCGATTCACCTCACACTTACTGACCACTGACAAACCCTTCAGCTCAGATTTTACCTGTTTATCCAGGACTAGAAGAACCCAACCTGCTCAAACATCGCCTCGCTCCAGGCGCAGAGGCTGTTACCACCGATTTGTGAAGTGATGCAGCTGCCAAGAAAAACTCATTTGTCACACAGTTGCAGTCCACCGTGAACATAAATCATGATGGATGTCATATGTAGGGCCAAGAACGCCATGAATATTCAACATTTGTCTTTCTTTGCTGTGCACATCTTGCTCAAAAAATGATTTCATTTGATAGCTCTGGTAGTTTGAATCCTGACACTTCTCACTGTGCAAGATAAATATCTCATCTTTATGTAATCCTGAAATTACTGAGCCGTAAATGATGGATTTCAGGTCAAGCACATCCACCTTAGCAATCCCAGTGAATGTTTGGCTGGCCTCACAGAGGACTTCCCATGACATCCAGTTCAGCCGAGATGCTTGAGCTGCATGGAGCTTTGCACCTAAAGCACCTCTCCATCCTTTTCATCCCTCTGGCATTCAGTTCAAACAATATGGCTTACGCACGTTTCAGAGGAAAAAGTCGATATCCTGTTCTTTTAATCACACTACCGCACACGTCTTTTCCCACTTGTACATGAAAGCTGTGCACACCTCCGCACGTAAAGATGGGTGATAAAAGACGGCAATCTTGCCCGAAGCAACAAAAAAAAGAAAAAGACCTGACAAGACATTGGAACAACACACTTAAAAGACATTTCACATGTTGTTTTTGTTGGCCTCTCTTTTAACGTGCATTCCTCAGGAAGTCGGAACTCTCTTAATGAAACGAAACAAAAGAAAATAATGGAGAAGAGGGGGGACAGGCGGAGCTCTTACCTCGGACCGATGAAGCTGGATTCCATAGAGGAGAATATTTTGGAGCTTGGCTGCAGAGGCCAGGTCCATGATTGCAGCAAACTCTGTCCTGTTGACCATGTGCTCGTGTGCACTGCTCAGACGTACCTATGGAAACAAAGGCCACCAGGAGCAACAAGAAAACACTTGTCAACCATGTTTATGTTAAGAGGACGTCAATTTATCCCATTTTTCAAAAAGTTGTCAGAACATAGTTTGAGTGGTGAGACGTATTGTGTCACTTCCTGTTTGTCTGTCGGTAGCGCGAGTGAATGGTTTGCTCGAGTCGTCTCTGTTTTCTGGATTTATCTTTTGCACAGTTTTTCATTCTAGATCACAAACACACTTAGTACAGTTGTTTTTCTACAGTTGGATAGTGCTTAAAACACCTCTTATCTTTCAACACTTCTCGGTTTTTATTGGTGTATTTGGCTCTGCTAGCGTTAGCTTAGCATGGCTGCTGCTTCTCTCCCTGCTTCCTGTTTTCTCTTGCTCCGTGTGTCAGATGTTTAGTTCCTCCTCTTCCTTCTTTAGTGGAAATGATACATGTAACAAATGTAGTCTTATGGTAGCTTTGGAGGAGAGGCTGTCTGAACTGGAAGCTCGGCTCCGCGCTGTAGAAAAACCAGTAGCTAGCCAGGTCCCTTAGACAGCGCGGAACCACAGAGGCTAGCTCCCGTTAGCGGTCCCCCAGCAGACCACGAGCAGCCGGGACCCCAGACCGGCTGGGTGACGGTCCGGAGCAAGCGTAGTGCTAAGGCTAAGCCCCCAGTTCACCACCGACCCGTTCACGTTTCTAATAGATGTTCCTCGCTCTGTGACACCCGCTGAGAAGCAGACCCTGGTTATTGGAAGCTCCATAGTCCATAGACACATTATCCAGTTTTAAAACTAGGCTTAAGACTTTCCTTTTTGCTAAATCCTATAGTTAGGGTCGGCTTGGGTTTCCTGAGCTGTCCCTTAGTTCTGCTGCTATAGGCTTAGACTGCTGGAGGACAAACTGACCACACTTTTCACTCTGCTGCTGTCTTTACTTACTCTGCTCAACCTGTTTGTATTTGTAATTATTTTTTCTATCCTTAATATGTGTTTTTGTCTTTCAGGTACACCTGGACCTATATCTGGACCTGGACCTATATCTGGACCTATACCTGGACCTATATATGGACCTGGACCTATATCTGGACCTGGACCTACTGTATACCTGGACCTATATCTGGACCTGGACTTATATCTGGACCTATACCTGGACCTATATATGAACCTGGACCTATATCTGGACCTGGACCTATATCTGGACCTGGACCTAGACCTGGACCTACCATTCTGTGTTGGTCTGTCTCTCCTTCCTGTCCTCTCAACCAGCCGGTCAAAGCAGATGGTCTCTTGTCCTGATCCTGGTTCTGCTGGAGGTTTCTTCCTGTTAAAGGGAGTTTTTCTTTCCACTGTCTCCACTGTGCTTGCTCAGGATGGGAGACTGCAACGAAGCCAAGATTCATCTTGTCTGCTGGATTCCTTAGATAGAGAACTTTACTAACTGGCTTTTATGTGAATGTTCCTGTAAAGTCCCTGAGACAACTTTGTTGTGATTTGGCGCTTTATAAATAAACTGAATTGAATTGAACATGTTGCAACATTATAATCTGTATGTCAAACTGTATAAAGAACATGAGACTGAGCTCGGCTGCGTTATATTCAGACAGAACGCAGCATCCTGCCTGGGAGTACGATGGAGCTCTTTAAAGTTTGTTTCTCCAATTAGTGAAGCCTAATTGAAAGACTGGGTCACTTTATTGACTCACCTCAACCAGAGCTCTGGGAAAATGACCAGTCTGACACTTACACTTTACTGGTTACAGATTTTCTGAGAAATTTCCCTAAAAATGTCACTTTTTGAGTTTGGCAAGATATTTCCAAAACAAATGTAGTTTATTTCTTTGCTTTGATACCTTTTATAATTTCCTCTCGGTGATTGACCATTTCAGCACAGTCCAAGATGAACGGTGACAAAAATCAAGGTGAAATGAGACGGGCATTAAAAAAGTGAATACACTAATAAACAGATCCATTGTTGTTTTGGCTTCTAGAGCGCCAACTGATAGCGGGAACTCAACAAACAATCTGCCAAGCCATCTTTGTTGTTCCCGTCTACACAGCTCCACTCTAGAGACTCATTCCTAAAAATGTCCACTTAGGAAAGCTCCATGAAAATGACCCTTTCATCCCTAAAGACTTTGCTTGTGTGGACGGGAGTTCAAGTGTGTTCACGACCTAAGTTTAGATGGTTTTAATAAGCATTATTTTGTAACTCAACTTAAATACCAATCAAAAGTTGTAGATTTAAAGGTAGATTATAAAAGAACTGAAATGCATTAAACAGGCTGTAAAAGATGCTCATGAATAAAACATAATCAACAAGTTTAAGCCACAGATGTATTTGTCTCAAGTGAAGGATTTGTGGAGTAAATAAATCTATTATGGTCTATAAAATAGAAATGTGTCAAACAGAATTTCTTAAACAAAAGCAGTTTGACTTCTGTTTTAACTGGCGATCCACAAGATTTAGAGCAGGGTGTGAAACGCAGTTACAAAAGGGGCCAAAATGAATAATTCATTTCAAAGCGGGGGCCAGTTTGAGTCAATATGTCACCTCCTGTCAGACACCTGACGTCTTTTCTGACTTTCATCCGTCTCTTTTGACGTTCTCTTTGCTTTCATCCGAATCAAAGATTCCAGAAAAATTCTAATTTTTCTTGATTTCAAAGTTGGATAAGTGAGAAGTCTGCAATGAATAAAGCATGCTCAGTTTTATTTTGTTTTGTTTGTGTTTAATAAAATGGGATGCAATACAAACATTTCACTATTAAAATCTCCCCTTGGGGGCAAATAAGACGTAACAAGGGTCATGTTTGGCCCTCGGGCCTCGAGTTTGACACGTGACAAAGTTTGAATTGAAGAAGTTCAAAATTTGAGATTGGGGGCCCCGATTTCCTTAATTTTGGGAAATCGGCAGATACTTGCATGAGAAACCGATTTTACCCATTGGTTTTTGTTTTAACAACAATTGTCTGAACTTTATATTTCACAGCACTACCTCATGGACAGTTAACACAAGCTTGTTTCGCTTCTAGGATATTGTTTTTCAATAAAATAAGATGGAAAACTGAAGGTGCATTGTGACTTCACAACACCTGACAGTGTCGCTTATAAAACTAAATCGGAATCGGCAGGTCAGACTTTTTAGGAATCGGTGATCGGCTATAAAACTGCAATCGGTGCACCTTGAGATTGTTTATCTTAACTCAGGCATCTGTGCTTTAATTGTTTTGTTCGTTGCAGTGCTGATATCTATGAACGTTCAATGAACGGTGATGATTTCTGTTCAGCTATTTCCATGTCGTCTCGTCTAGTATGAATGTTTCGTACTGACTCTGAAACTAATCGCCGCTTGGTGAAAATAAAGATTCCTGAACTCGAACGTGAACATTTGAGCTTTTTGGTTTAAAAATACAAGTTTCATATGACAACAAGAATACCAGAGATGAGCACTGTAACTTCATACTGTGAGAACCGTTTTTATATTTAGCGCCTCGCTAACGGCTGTAAAATCCAAGAACACACCCACCCAAATGACAACCGGTGGGTGGAGAAGAGCTCGATTTGCTGCCTCCAAAGCCTTGAGTACAGCTTCCACTTGAGACAGGCAAGAAGACGTGACCTGCAAACAAAACATAAAACGCACACTGGATCTAACCTCCAAGAACCAATTCTGACTTTCTGGACAAGTTTTCACTTGAGTTTAAAGCAGAAACTCACAGAAACCTGGATGAAGTTCCACTCTTTCAACAGACACCTGGCGTTGTCTCCCAGCAGATCTGGGACCACATCCAGCTCCTGCAACTCAGAGATATTTTAAACATTCACATTAGATTCTTCTTCTTGGTGTGGAACAAGGCAGGTGCTGCAGAACCAGGACGTTTATGCATCCGAGGTCAAACGACAGACAAAGTTCAGTGTCTAAAGGTCAGGAGCCTTCTGGTTTTTGTTGCAGTCACTTCTTTAATCACGTTGTGTGAACATAGACCCACCTGTTCCCCGGCCATGAATCATGCAATGATTAAAGAAAAAGCAGTAAAAAAAACTTGGTGCTTAAAAACATGTTACTAAGTGGTCATTAGTTCCACTGACTGCAGTCAGAAATGTCTTTTATGCTTTTAAACTGGGAGGAAAACTTAGCCAAACAAAATAAAATAAAACTCATTTTGAATTTAATTACTCTGCTATTTCAGTCAAATGGCGAGATACAGCCAGAAAAGCTTTTCTGCAGAAATAATTCAAGTTTTGATCTTTCTATGAGTTTTGGAATAAAAATAACATAAGACATCCAGAGAGCCCCCTTTATCTCCACGTCCATTTAAAAATCATTTCCATTATTTTACTTCTAATTAGTCTTTGGTAATGAAAGATTACTCCTATTGTTGAATAAACACAGAAATATATACAATCAGAGGCTGTTAAGTATTAAAGTTCACTTTTTCTACCTCAGTAAATTAATAAAATATAGTTGAAAGTGTTTAAATGTTTTTGAGAAACATATGTAGAGGGCAACAAAGTCCATGCTCAATAATCCAGGTGTACAATCCAACATTTTTCAGTCAGGTCATCTGGACAGTTTCTTTTTTTTGTGCTGAAACGTTTCACCTTCCATCCAGAAGGCTTCATCAGTCAAGGAAACACACAACAAAACTGATTCTTCCTCCAGCAGTTTACTCCAAAGTGGAACAAACCAGTTCTGCTCGTGATAAGATGGTCTCTTTGGTACGCCCCCTCCTCCATTGCCGGCCCTCTTCCTTGTTGACAGTCATGTCAAACTGGTTGAAAACAACAAAGTCCATGCTCAATAATCCAGGTACGTAGAGGGGTTCATTAGTCCTGAATGAAACTGGTCTTGGAAACGTGTAGATTTACCAAGTTAAACAATCTAAACCAATGTGGGCATGAAATCTAAGAGGAGACGTGCTGCTCACGTTCAGACCTGGAGACTGAACTACAGTTAACAACACAATCTGATGAACATCAGAGAAACAACTCGGAGACCAACACGGCACGTAGACACCTCGCAAATCTTGACAATTTTACCTCCAGTACAGAGGTGGTGAGACCAGCTATGTTGTCTGGTCTGGAGATAGAGACATGGACAAAAAGACAGGAGACAGAACTGGAAGAGTCAGAAATGAAGATGTTGAGGTTCTCCTTAGGAGAGACAAGGATGGAGAAGATCAGGAATGAGATCATCAGAGGTACAGCACAGGATGAACAACTGGGCGATAAAGTTAGAGAGGACACACTGAGATGGTTTGGACATGTCCAGAGGAGGGACAGTGGTTTGAACATGTCCAGAGGAGGGACAGTGGTTTGGACATGTCCAGAGGAGGGACAGTGGTTTGGACATGTCCAGAGGAGGGGCAGTGGTTTGGACATGTCCAGAGGAGGGGCAGTGGTTTGGACATGTCCAGAGGAGGGACAGTGGTTTGGACATGTCCAGAGGAGGGACAGTAGTTTGGACATGTCCAGAGGAGGGACAGTGGTTTGGACATGTCCAGAGGAGGGACAGTGGTTTGGACATGTCCAGAGGAGGGACAGTGG